CTTCACCACCAACAACGGGCGGCATCACCGCATGGACGAGTTCTCCCGTGGCAACGTGCCCTCCAGCGAGCTGCAGATCTACACCTGGTGAGTGCGCGGCGGCGGCGAGCGGGGCCTGATGGGGCGGGGGCTCCAAGCAGCTGCGGGGGCTGGTCTGGCTCGAGCGCCTTGTCTGGTACTGAGCGGCAAGAAGGAGCTGAGTGGGCCGCGTTTAAACCAGGAAATGTGGCGAAGTTTTCTTGGGGGAGTTGTGCGCTCCACTACGGTGGCAGCTCTGTGGGCGAAGGCAGCTGCCGCTGAAGCAGAGCTCCTGCCTGTAGCCATGGCAGCTTAGCCGTGGCGTCCATGGAGCCACAGATGTAGCTGATTGCTGCACATCGAGATTTACGGGGGTTTGGTTGCCCAGTTACTGATGCGTGTAATCAGAGGCTTGTGTTGTGGCATATCTTTGGTTATTGCAATAAATCAACACAGAGATTCTTCTTTAACTAATTCTTAAATTTTGTTCCAACAGCCGTGTTTTCGACTAGAAGTAGTTGTCCTAGAAGGCTTGAACTGTTGGTTGAATGGTGTGTTGGTTTTAAGCCAGAGCCTCTTGAGGGTTGAGTAGTGTGTTTCTTTTTGTGTGGTCGAGTAGCAGTGCTTTAATCAAGAGGTGCTTTTTATTGCTTTCAAATTTAGTTGGGGAACTGCTTTAGTCTGTGTTGTAAGCACATTAGTTTTTGTTTATAGTATTTTGAAGAATGCTTTTGAAAGTGAATTATGGTACTTTTTGCATCTTGCTTTTCCTTCAAGGTGTCTGTTAGTGTTATAACTTGTATGTAGTATGGTTGAATACATCCATTGTTGTGACTAGCAGAGTGTGCAGTTCTAATTTACTGCTTAATGGGATTTATGGACTCAGGCCAGGCTATTGATGGTGTCTGAGCTGTTTGCCATCTGCAGAAGTCAGAATGGGCATTGTCTGTTGACACACTGCTCCTTGGTTGCTGGAAGCCTGGAGTGAGTGTTCAGTCTGTATAATTAGAGCTGCTTTAGTTGTGATGATTTAGCCCTTTTGTTCTTGAATTTCTAGAAATGAGCTTTAGCCCTGGTCTGGTTGAAGGCAGGGAAAAGGAGTGCTGTCTGTTAGGGTAGAAGTGGAAATCTTGATGGAACTGTAAAAATATTAATTTATTTCTACCTTTCTTCTGGTATTTGAGAAAGTATTTTAACATAGACACCAGCTTAGGTGAGGAAATACTTACAGTGTTCATTGTATAAATGCATTAATGCATTTTAAAGAAAAAAAGTTCCCTGCAGTTTAAATAGTAACTCTTTTGAGAGACATGGAAAAGCAGATGTCGAAATGTACACAGAAGTGAAGAGACTTGTCTGTCTAATACCGCAGTAAGTGAGAAGCTACTGCAGCTAGAACCACATTTGCACTAGACCGTATTATCTCGTGTACAGTGAGTGGTGAATTCTCCCAGGTGTTATAATTGGTAACTAGAGCAACTTCTTGTCACTTGATCGTTAGATCAAAGTGTATTGTTTGGAATGTGTAGTTGTGAAATCAATGGCTTGCTAAGTAGCTGAAATGTAATGCCTCACTCATCTTCAGGTATCAACAGAACGTATGCAAAGGCAAGGACATGTATGGTTAAGTTTTAGCGATATATTGATTGCACCTTAAGTGGGTTTTGTGAAGCTTTTTTTATTGCTGTTGCTTTTGAGAATGTGAACCACTTTCGTTTATTTGTTTAATCTAGGATGGATGCGACTCTGAAAGAGCTGACCAGCTTAGTGAAAGAAGTCTACCCAGAAGCACGGAAGAAGGGCACACACTTCAATTTTGCAATTGTTTTTACAGATCTCAAGAGGCCTGGATATAGGTAAATGGCATTTCTTCTCTGGGTTAACAGAAGGCTTCAGGCACTGGAGCAGTAAATTATTTTTCATTAACACTGATTTTAAAGTTCAGATCCCACTGATCAGATCTCTAAAGGTAATAGACCATATGATGAATGCTACAAACACAAAAGTTTGGTTGGTGACCGTGGTTGTTAATGTGTTCTGAAAGCAATTAACCTGTGTGCGTGAAAGCTTTGGTCACTGTACTGGCGAGCAACCTACAGACTGAGGTAAAGTTTTGTTTCTGGTGATAAGAGGCGTGGTAGGTCTTGAGAATGTGTTGTAGCAGTGATCTTGTTGCAGGTATCCATCTTCCAAAACTGTATGAGCTGACCTTTGTCAGCAAGCAGTGGATATGCCCTGCTCTGTGACCTGTGGGGTCTTGTTCTGCATGTGTATGGAGGGGGTGAGGGGTTCTCTCTGGAGTTTAATATGGTAAAAGGTTCCCCCACCCCTCTGCTGCATCAGAGAGAGGATTCTGTGTAGCTTTTCTTGGTGCACCTGATACTGGAGGGGGGGAAAAAAGAACCCACCAGCATCCTGTGTAAATAGCTAAATGCGAAATACAGTGCAGAGGACGGCCTGGGCAGGTTGTTGTGGTACAGGTCTGTTCTGGACATCTAGAGAGATTTGTCTCTAACTATTGTGCCTTTTCTTGCACGCAGGGTGAAGGAGATCGGCAGTACCATGTCGGGCAGGAAGGGCACAGATGATTCCATGACATTGCAGTCCCAGAAATTCCAGATAGGAGACTACTTGGACATAGCAATTACTCCTCCAAACCGCGCACCACCCCCATCAAGCCGCATGAGACCCTACTAAACCATTGCTTCTTTGTATGATTGCATCTTCTGTTTACTCCTACTTGCTGTTCTAAAGCAGGCTTATTTTTTTTTGCTTTCATTGCTAAGCAAGAACACCTGAAGACAATGCTAAGCATCAGAAATGAAAGTTAACTTTTAAACCTTTAGTTTTTGTTTAGAAGGAACACTTCTCTTTAGCAGTGCTGTCATCCTATCCCTGATTGTTATAGTTTGAACAGTAAGTCAGCATGTCCAGCGTTTCAAGATTTCCATAAAATATGACCAGAAGGATTACAGGTGTTCTGTGGTTCTGTCTTGTTTGGAATAAAGATTGATGTTAATCTTTTTGATAGTGTGGTGGTGTTTGGTTGTGTTTGTTTTTTTTTTTAAAGTGGATTTCTGCAGAGAAATTTGGAAATCTGCTTTTAAGCAAAAGTTAAAATTGAAAGTAGGGCCTTTATCTAATAACTTATGGGCCTGATGAGTTGGAGGTAGGTGGCCTAATGGGGATCCCTTTTGTGGGAGGATTTCTTAAACCACTGCTGGCTGGATTTTGGAGGATGAGCATGTGAATGGTGTGGTCGAAGGCAGGTAAACATGGTGTTGCACTCCCTGCTGACGTAGATACATTGACAGTGACAGGGAAGGTCAGAGATGAGCTGTGTGAGGCTCCCTGTCCAGCAGGATGACGAGGGGAGCCAGGACAGATCACCATGGCTTCCAGGGGCTGATGTGTATTGTGCAGATGATGCCAGTTCATGGATTAGGAGTGGTCTTGGTGATAATCAGTGTATCCCAGGATGCTGAGGAGCTGGTGGCCTTAACCAGAGGAAGATGTGGTTCAGCACCACCTGCACATCAGCCACTTGAGTTCTGAAGGACCTAGTATTTTCTTCAAAAATGGAAGGCATAATGCTCTCTGAAGGTCTTGCTTTTCATAGAACAGTGGTCTCCAAACTTTTTGGTTGCACACACCATCATCAGAGTTTTGAGGATGTGCCCCCCCCAAATTGTTTATATATATCCACTACTGTACTAATATGATCATGATCAAACTACACAAAAATAGGTGTAAAAAGAAAGGTGAAATACTTTAAAAAGTATTTTTAAACTGTATTTATTAATGGTACCAAAAATATTTCTTCTTGTGTCCCACTTGTGTGTGTACCACTTTGGAGACCTCTGTCTTGGAAGATAGAGGATCTGCAGAGACCTGGCCAGAAGAAATCCAATGTTTTCAGATCAAGGTTGACTAAGGAGCATGCAGAACTATTTTCTGATGGAAATACAATGGCAGATATGTAAGGGACTACAAGAGAAAATGGTCTGTTACAAAAGACTGCAACTGCCTGTTAGAAAGGCCCCAGTAAGGGATGAAAGGTGATATCTGCTGAGGGCCTTGTGAACAAAGGGCTTGTCTTAAACATCTTGGTTGTAAAAGACTGCGCTTGGACCCCTAGTCCTAACTCGTCACTGATCAGAGGAAGTGTGAAATGCACCAAAGGACTCAGGCCTTTCTCCCTTGCTAATGCAGTTGCTTCCCTTACAACCAAGTAGCAAACCTTGCTCTGTTCCCTTGCTAACAAGGTCACTCCCCATCTCTGAGGTGCCAAAGTTCAGCTGAAGATAATCTAACACAGTGTCTGTGTGACCACTGATGCAATGGGCTTGAGTGGTTAATGCTGCCCTTCACCCCCTTATGCATATGCAAAAAGATGGCTCTTCCCAGGTAAATTAAAGAGACACCTCCAGTTGCTTCATAGGCGGAGACCTGAGAACTTGCATCTATAAAAGGTGAACAAACAATGGGAGAGTTGTGTGCCTGCCACTGGAGGACACCACCCCCCTGCGCTGACCATCACTGGATCCAAGGGTGGTGATATCTTTCTGAAAACTTTCTCTCTTCTCTCCTTTCCCTTTCCCATTTATGTCTTGATCTCTCCCTGTCTCCAACTATTTTCCTGGCACATACAGGTAACACTGTTACAAAATTTTTCTTTTCAGTATGAGTTTTTCTTTTTAGTGATATGTGATTGCAAGTTTATTGGAGAGTGGTTGTTAGTTGTCATATTGCTGTAGGTTTGCTATTGTAGGTAATTGTGATATCATCACATTGTTAATAGTTGTCACATCATTGTAAATTTTAGTGTTGTCAATGGGTGATGGTATTGTTATAAGTTTTCTTAGTTTTTTTGTATTTCCCCTACATTTTACATCTTACATATGTTTCCCTTTTCCCCAAAGATTATATGCATTAGTTATAAGCCAGTATTCAATTGTTTGGTGTTGTCTCACCTTAATTTGCCCCAAGGGGCTCCACAGGACCTCCCCGAACCCCACTCATCCCACCCAGGCGGTTTTTGAGCTGGGTTGCAACAAGGTGCTCTGCCCAGAGATGCTCTTGCCTGCAGTTTGGGTGAACAGAGGGGAGGTGAGGCAGCAGGTCTTCCCTCCAGCAGTATGTGTGGGAGTCCCGAGCCTGACCACTGGGTTCTTGGCCAAGTGAACCTGCGGGGTGGAGGCACCTGGCTCAAGTACCTGGAACTCCTCGGCTGTTGACCACAAGCAATATATTGTGTGTACAGAAAACACCCAGTTTTGGCCCTCGGTAAGATGACTTTTCACAAACACTTGCAGCTTGTACTGAGTACCAGTTTCTCAATTTACTGTAATGCTTGGGTGTCAAGGCAAAGCCAAGAGGAACAGTGAGGTATCAAGGTTCAAGGCTGTTCTAAGTTACTGATGAAGCTGGAGGCTGTTGGGGGAGTCTCCCAGCCAGCTTCCAGAAGCTCAAAATAGAGGAAGGGGTAGCTATGCAATCTCAGTTGTCTATGGGGAAAGCAGAGGTCTGGCCTGCATGATGGGCACTACTCTCTGGGAAGCAACTACCTTCTTAAGGAGAAGGAAGGGGTGACCCATCTCTCAGCAAGTTGGTGCAACACTAGAGGATGGGCCAGTGGCTTCCAGTAGCTCAGTGCTTGCCAATTTCTTCTGCCACTGCAGGGGGAGATCTTGAGACATGCAGGTGCATCTGGTCTCACAGCAGGTCCCAGCTGTCTGGGCTGAGTGCCTCTGACCATGAGCATCCAGCTGGTCTGGAGCAGAGACAGGTGCTTGTTTTCTGCACGTTGTGCCCTGAGAGAAAGGCAAGAACAGGAGTAGTAGAAGCTGTAGCTGCTCCTTAGGGCCTTCACCTTCATCACATAAGGCCTCAGCAGAACAGAGACTCAGCTGGTAGTGCTCCTGTCTGCTGAGGACAAGGCATGCCTTCTTTCATGAGCTCCAAATTATATCTATCTATCTATCTATCTATATGTTTTACCTGTTTTTCTTCTCAGGAGTCCCTTCGTGCAGTATAGCCTGAGGGATTGTAGGTTTAGTTCTGCTCATGTTTCACGCTCTTTTGTCCCCCATGTCTGGCTTCTAAGTTAGGGAGTTGTGATTTCAGCCTTTGTGAATGACCCTTGTTTGCAGAATCACCTGCAGCCAGGTCACTTTTTCCCTAAGGCTGAAGAGGTTGAAAAGTGCTCCCCACCCTTCTTTAAAGAGAGCTCAAGAAAAGACAATATCAGTGCTGCTTTATAAAGGACTGCGAGCCTGGAAGTGGCCATGGAGCTGGTGGAGTGTGGGCAGAACTGAGATGGGGGATGTTTTGCAAGGGTGAAGGCAGCCACCTCTTGTGCGAGAGGGAGGCTCTCCACGATACTGCTGCTGTGAGGAGCCCGTGTGCCCTAACAGCTCCGTGACTTCTATGTCACCAGGGGCAGGCTTGGGCAGGCTTGGGACCCCTGCCACCTGTGTGCTGGGTCATGGCCAGCAGATCAGTTTTCTGCTTTTTGGCACCTTGTAGACCCAGGCAGACAGAAAAGTGAACACCACTGCTAGGTGACCTGCTCACCACAGGGCATCACCCGTGCTGTAAAATGAATGAGGCGAGTCCTGCAGTAACCAGCATGTAATTACAGAATTCCACAGCCTCCTGGCAAAGGCAAGGACAGACCTGCCATTAGAGGTACACAGGAATATGGGCATTTCCTCATTTTTTGTGTCTGGTTTTTGCTTTAATTGCTTTTAAGGCTACTCATCTGCTTTGGGAGATAGTTTGGCTTTGCTGCTAGAAGGGGAGACATGGCCCTGTGAGGGCTTCTGCCTGCTGAAACTGAGGCAGGTCTTCACACACTTCAGAGAAAAAGAGGAACAACCTATGTGAAAGGGGAACAATTCCTCTTTCACATACTCAGGCCTTTAACTAAGGCCTCGGTTTTCACAGTCCCCCTCTGATTTCACCACCTCTCCACTACAGCTTCATGCGTGTGTGTACACACATTCATATAGAACAGAGGCTACAGCCTCAGAAGAGCAGCCATTTCCTTCCCTTACCACGACCCTTACCAGAGTTCTTCCGCAGCGCTTTTGGGAGAGGCTGCCTGTGTCTCTGGTGGAGGAATTGGTATCTGGGTTAATTCCCTGCCTAGTTAAGAAGCGAGCACTGCATTCACCATCTGACTGGAGCAGTTGTGGAGGCTTAAGTTTTGCTTTACAGCTCTGGTCAAAAGCAGAAACAGCTCTGATGCATCGGGAAAACACTAAGCATTATCAGCAAGTTCTCATTCTTGCAATGGAAAGCATAGAAAAATGAGGAGGTGTCAGAAACTCTGTTGCGTCACAGCAAATGAATGACAATAGCCATGCTCCTGTCCAGCAAACAGCCCTGTAAGTAATGTGATAGCTAAGACACGACCTGCCAAAACCAAAGTGATCCAATGACTGGCTGCTCTTGCCTCAGCCGCTATGTCTAGACATTACAGCAGATCAGCTGTGTTAAAAAAACACATCAGTTCCTCTTACAGAACAGGACACTGAGGAACATGAATTGTAAAACACTTGTGTTGTGCACAGCAGGCACTGTGCCTGGCCACAAAGACCTGTCAGTGATGAGGAGGAGGTGCCTGGCTGGCCTACCAGGGCAAGGTGCTGGAGATAAAACATGGCTCAGGGCTGGGTTCAGAGGGGCTGGGGTGTTTGGGACCCTCCCTGGGGTATTTCTCATCTCACAGAACTGACAGGCTTAAGTAGAGACATCCTGGCCCAAAAACTCACTTGACTTCTTCAACACTCAGCAAGACACTCCCGTGAACTCTGCAAGTGACAGCTTCAGGGGCTCCCCTGGGTGAGCTCCTCTTAGTGCTGGCTGAGGCATGAATTCCCCACCCTGGGCTTCGGGCAAACATGAGTTAGTGTCTTTATGCTTGAAGAGACTTGGGGGTCTTCAACAGGGGCCTGAAACTGCACCTGGCCCAGACACCCCCATGGTGTATGCTGTTTGAATCCAAGCATTCC